CAGAGCCTGACGCGGGGCTCGAACTCACGGACCGCGAGATCGTGACCTGAGCTGAAGTCGGCTGCTCAACCGACTGAGCCACCCAGGCGCCCCCCGAATTTGCATCTCTAACAAGTTCCCAGATGATGCCAGTGCCCCTGGGCCCAGGCCCACACTTTGGGAACCACCCATCTCCCACCACACAAGGAGTGAATGATGTAAAATATATCAAGCATTTGGCATAGTTCTTACAACCTAAGGAACGTGTGATTTTTTGCAGGGACTGACAGTGTTATTGATATTATTAGAAGTTGGGGATAATAATACTTGCTCATGGAATTGTTGTACAGACAGAATGAATTAGCTGATGAATATGCTGGATCCCCAGGGCCCAGCAGCAAAGTTAGTAAAAGTCAGCTTTTCCCATTATTAATTATTGCTGTGATTGTAGTAAGGAGTCTTAGTAATGGCCTACTGGACTAAGGAAACCCATAAAACAATGTAGAATTTTGATAAATGGATCAGCATCTGGGCATTCAGGAAGCATCTACTGTATGCACATGTGCTCTGGGGGAGCATGGAGTGAACCAAGTTCAAATCCTTTAAGGACCCAAATCCACACGTTGAAAACTCAGATGACTTCAGGGACAAGAAGGAAACAGGGTTACAGGAAGAGCAGTGGGGGGTGGTAGGACCTGGAGCAAGTTGGAAAGAACACATCGTACCTAAAAGAAAAAATATACAGTGGTCCAAAAAATCCAAATACGACTGGCAATCAGCTGTGGCTTTGCTCGAAAGAAGGAAATGCATAGGCAGGGTGTCTGTGGCTGGTGAGGGTCCCAGGACCATGGGAGCTCAGAAGGCAGAGGGCACGAGATCACTTGAGTGGGGTGTCCGTGAAGGCTTTCCACCCCTGGTGGGGCTGACTAGGATGGGCCTTCATGGCGAGGGAGGATTTGGAGAAGCTTCAAAGAAGTTGGCCTCCTCACTGGATTGGAAGCTTGAGGCAGACCTTTGCCCTCTCTCTTCTCTGCACCTGGCACATAGTAGGTGCTCAATAAACGGGGAGTGGATTCCTAATGGGAGGAATACATAATGGGCTGGGGGATTTCCATCTGGAATGATGAGGGGAAGTTTAAACACACCTCCGGAGTTCATGGAGAAATTGTGTGGTGTGAAGGTAGCCCACTGGCCTGAATTTGAATCCCACCTCATCTTGGCTCCTCGACTTACTTGCTGTCTGCTATTGGACAAGAAATTAACCTCTCTGAGCCTTACGTGTCTTCATCTGTGAACTGGTACTAATAATGCCCATCCCAGCTTGGTGACAAGGATCAAAGAGAGTATAACTAGGAATTGAGACTTCCGCCTCATTCTGGATCCCGTTGAAAGAAAACATTGGACCCCTAACTCCCACCTCTGCTTTCCCTTCCAGAGAAAAAGATCCCAATCACAATAGCTTACTCTCAGTATAAGGAAGACCTGACAGAGGACAAGAAGATCCTGTTGGCTGCGATGTGCTTTGTCACCAAAGGAGAGAAGCTCCTGGTGGAGAAGGACATCACTCTGGAGGATGTCATCACCATCAAGGTGAATCCAGTCTGCACCCCCCATTCCTGGAAGTCCCCGTTCACAGCTGAGGGAGGGCATCAGAGGCCGGGGGGTTGTGCCATGAGCTCTGGCAGTGGAGAGGTGGCATGGATGCAGGGGGATAGATATAATGATGGAGCTCACTGAGGGGGGTGGGAGGATGCCATGATTAATGCCCATGCCACGACCCAACCGGCGTCCCAGCCGGGCCCCATAGGTTTCCTGGGGGAGTGTGGAGGAGGAGAAAGATGACTTATGGGTGTTACCCCTCCAGGTGCTGGGCCCAGCCATGGTAGGGGTGGCGGTTGTGGTGAAAGTGACGGTGGTCAACCCCCTCCTGGAGACAGTGGAGGATTGTATGCTGATGGTGGAGGGCAGTGGCCTTCTCCAGGGACAGCTCAGCATTGAGTAAGTATCAGACTGGGAGTGGAAAGTCCACCTTCCTTAAAGGATGGTGAAGCTACCAACAGAGAGGGGTGCGGGAGATACCCTGGACTCCCAGGAACCAGCTCACAGCCTACATCAGCCTTCATTTATGTATCCTTTCCTTCCTTCCTTCCGTCATTAGCTTAGTTGTGGAACTCATCCACTCACTCATTCCCTCATTCATTCACTTCATCTATCTGCTCAACTCAGTCTTGACTGGTTTCTTCCCCCATTCATTCACGCATGTTCTGTTCATTCATGCACTTGTTGACTTACTCTCAACCATCCACTCCTTTGTTTTTGCATCCACACGCTCCCTCGTTCACATGATCCTTAATCATAATGACCTCTTCTCTGAGCCATGTGTCAACTTTGGGAACACCAAGACGAACAGATGGGGTTCTGCCTGGAGAAGTGTTCTCCTAGACAGGTGGTCCTTCAAATGAAGATACGTGTGATTTGTGCAGAGAAATGGATCTCCAGGGTCCAGAGAATCAGGAGTAGCCCTTAATTGGGGATGAGGTGGAACCAGGGAAAAGCTGCAGCGGAGCTGATATTTGAGCTGGGCCTTGAATGCTGACTTGAGAAGTTTTCAGGTACCAAGAAGCATGGAGGGTTTCCCAGTCAGAGGTCTCAATGGCTGGTATTGTCGGGGAGGGTCTCCTGGAAGAAGAGACACTTGATCTGGCCCTTGGTTGTGATCGGAATAGAAAGGGCAACCTAGGTGGGAGGAACAGTGCGGACAAAAGCCCAGAGAGAGGAAGTGTAAGGTAAGTTCAGGGCACAGGGAGGAGACAAGCCTGGTTGGGTGGAAAGAGGTGAGAACTGGTGGAAGGGAAAATTATGCTGGAAGCCTACTGGTGAGGCTTAAATGTCAAGTCTCAAGGTGTGTCCTTGATCCCAAGGGCTCTGGAGAGGGCAGGCCAGGTTCAGAAGGAGAGGGGGCTGATGGTCTGCCTTTCTCCCATCCCCTTTCCCCAGTGTGCCCAGCCTGGAGCCTCAGGAGAGGGCCTCGGTCCAGTTCAACATCACCCCCTCCAAGAGTGGCCCAAGGCAGCTGCAGGTGGACCTCGTCAGCCCCTACTTCCCAGACATCAAAGGCTTTGTGATCATCCACGTGGCCACAGCCAAGTGACTGGCCACCACCAGGGGCTGAGAGGGGAGGAGATGGCCCCTGGTCCCTCCCTGTCCACCTCTCTGCCTCTCCTGCGTGGGAGCCAGGAGGCCTGGGTTCCAGTCCTGCTTCGGTTTCTGCCCCACTTTGCGAACATGGGCAAGTCCCTTCTTCTCTTGGGCCTGTTTCCCCGTCTGTGAAACAAGGTGTTAGACTCAGCAATCCTTAAACTTTTGGACAACGATGAGTGATGTTGGGAACCTCTTCCCCCGTCATCCATCACTGTCATTGCCGGGAGGCTGATCAAGCATCACTGTGACCATGGCCCACCCAGCTCTGCCACCCCTGCCCTGCCAGCCCACCATCACCCTGGCCGACCCCTGGGTTCTCCTTGCTTCCATCTCAGGTCCTCAACCCTCTGACCAGATCCAGATCCAAGAATGTCCTCCCAGCGTTGAAGAGGAACCCGAAAGTGTTAGAGCTGACACCCACACATCCCTCCACACTCCCATTTTACGTAGAGGGAAGAGCCTTGTCCACAGCCATAGGGGAGCTACAGACAGAATTGGGGTCCGCGTGGATGCCATTTCCACCACCGAAGTGTTACCCCCAAAGTCATGTTCTGGAAATCATTAGATTTGAAGCAATGGGAGATGTTCCCTCAGTGAAGACCCACGACGAGCACCTGCGGACAGCAGGAGAGAGGCCATCAAGCTCGGATTGCATTTGAGGATGAAACCCCAAATCTGATCCCATCACGGTCATCAGGGGCCTCCTACCACCAGCCCAGGGGTTATTTACTTTCTGAAAATGGAAACGGTGTTAACTTTGCAAAACACCCCCAGCCGCTTACTACACACGACCCTGTTCTTGGCATCAAAACAGGACAGAGATTTCTGGAACGAGGACTGGAGTAGAGACCACCAGGACCTGAGGACAACTGCACAGGTCAGAGAAATCAGCTCGAAATGTCCCAGACAGTCAAAAGCATTACGATTAGTCACGGAATTTAAGTCATCTGAACAACACCAAAACAGGCAGTGAGACACCTCCTGAATACGGACTTCCGTGGAAACAATTTACGTAGTGAGTCTTTGCTAAAAGGGCGTCAGGCAAACACACAGACAGTGAGGGGTGGGTGATCCTTGTGACCAAGGCTTCGGTGAAGGCATTTCTCTGACGAGTCTACACAGCAGGACAGCTTGGAGAACCCAGATGCGTGGAGGACCCCCTTTCCAAGCCTAGGTTTTGGGTGCTCATCCTGTCCATGTAAGAGGGGCAGCTGGAGGTTCAGAAGAGGCAGCCATTTCCTCAGGATTGAGCAGCAGGAAGGGGTACTGGGGGCTCAGTACAACAGAGCGGCTCTCCCACGCTTAGTAAAAGGGACGCTCTTTTCAGCAGGGAGACCAAGATGGTCTCCCCGCCCCCAGTGGCCCCAGACACCCCATCCTTGAAGCAAGTGCCGACTGCCCATCTTCCTCAGGCTTGGCTGAACCAGGTTTCACGTCCCAGGAGGCTGACCCTCTGAGTTGGAGTGTAGGGTGCAGGACATTTAGTAAGGAATGAGCTGGGGGTCAACACAGTGGAAGGGAGGGGGACGAAGCAGGATAGGCAGAGAGAGGAAGAGAGTGCTGATGCTGGCCCAGTGCCAGCTGGGGACCACCCCACGGGCAGCTGTGGAGCTAACATGGCCTTTGAGAGTTGTCCTAAGTTGGGCCAAGATGGCTGGGCCTTCCTACGCCTGCATCCGTCACCGATTGGCCCCCGAAGAGGTGTGACTTTGGGCAAGATAGCTCCCGACAGTGGAGGCCATCCCTGAGGGGGTTGACAGTGACGGTCATCTGCAGGCAGCACCCCCAGCAGTTGGTGCAACAAGCCGTCCACCGAAGGAAGGTCTGGACAATGTGTCGCCACGTCCACCTGCATTCTGTCCAACCCAGGGACAGAGCAGTAACATTACAAGGTCCCTCTGCCCAGGGCGATGACTTTCCGGCCGGGGGACACAGGTACTCAATCACAGCACCTTAAAGGGTGCGAAAAGCAAAAGGAGACCTAAGAGGAAACAAGCAAACAAATCTGTAAATAAGCTAATTACATGTCCCCGAGGCGTGGGGGCTAGGATGGCACCTGTCCCCATGGCGGCATCAGAGAAAGACTCCCCGAGGAAGTGGTATCCAAGCTCACATTTTAATAGTAACAAAACTAATGATTAAAAATTGAATCCGTTGGGGCGCCTGGGTGGCGCAGTCGGTTAAGCGTCCGACTTCAGCCAGGTCACGATCTCGCGGTCCGTGAGTTCGAGCCCCGCGTCGGGCTCTGGGCTGATGGCTCGGAGCCTGGAGCCTGTTTCCGATTCTGTGTCTCCCTCTCTCTCTGCCCCTCCCCCGTTCATGCTCTGTCTCTCTCTGTCCCAAAAATAAATAAAAACGTTGAAAAAAAAATTAAAAAAAAAAAATTGAATCCGTGTTCTTACTACAGGCCAGGAACTGTTTCGGGGGCTTGATGCATATGAATTTATTTAACCTTCATAACGACTCAGCGAAGGAGACACTATTATTCTCTCCATCTTCAACCTGCCTCACGGCGCAGCCAGAGCCTTCACTCACGTGGGCACGGGCTCTCTCCTGAGATCAGGATGGAGGGAATAAATGTTCAGACGGTCTCACAGGGGTGGAGGGGTCCTCAGGGTCCTGGGCTGTGTCCCAGCCAGATAATTTCTGCTCTGACATAGTGGCCGCATGTTCCAGTTATCAACTGCTGTGTAACAAACCAGCCCGTAACTTAAGGCTTAAAATCACGACGACCGTTATTTTGCTGATGAAACTGCAGTCTGGTCAGGGCTGCGTAGGGATAGCTCATCTCTGCTTGACTTAGGGGAGCAGAGACAGCTCAAAGGCTGGGCCGGGGATGTCTGAAGGCTTATCCACTCACGTTTCTGGCCGTGGATGCTGGCTGTTGCCCAAGCACCACGCTGGGCTGTCAGCCAGGACGCCCACCTACAGCTTCTCCACGTGGCCCGGGTTTCCCCAGAACACAGTAGAAGGGCAAGCATCTCAAGAGAGTCAGACGGAAGCCATATTGCCCTTATGCCTTGGGGTTAGAGGCCATCCAGTGCCACTTCTGCCACATCCTGTTCGTCAAGGCACTTACAGAGTTCCTCCAAGTTTCAAGAGGAAATAGACCCAGCTCATGATTAAAAAAAAAAAAAAAAAAAGGTGCAAAGATTCTGGAAGAGCTTGGCGGACCAAAAATATCGCCATAGATATTTCTGGAAAGACACAATCTGCCGTGCCGTCTCGGGCTGCCTACTTCTTGACCCTCTGAAGACTCGTCGAATCCCATATTTCCCGATGTCTGCTCCGTGTCTTACTATCTTCTCCAGGTTGCCCTTAATTTCTACCCCATCCCCTTTGCCTAAGCCGACAAGGATCAGTTTCTTCCGCTTGCAGCCAAGAAGTCTGATTCATGGAGACGCTGAGGCAAAAACGACCTTGTCCTGGGACACCCCGGGAACAAAGTGAAGGCCAATGTGCCCAAAGTGTCTGGCAGCTCACTACCTTCTTGATATGGGTCAGCAGCCCTGACCTTCAGTCTCGAGATGGTAACCGACAAGGGAGATTCAGAGGCCAGTACCTTGACCCTGAGCCCTCCAATAGCTTCCCCTTCACGTTATCTTTGCCTCTGCCACAGGCCTAAGAGACTGTCCCCGCAAAAGATCCCTGGTCTCCTCTTCACTGGCGAGGCTTGGTGGGTTACGATACTATTTCCCAAACCGAAGCAGGCAAGGTGGAAAAGTGGTTGTGGTAATGGGGGTGCTTGTGTGAGCCGGGGTTCTCGCGAGAAACAGAACCAACGGGATGTATATATCAGACCCGTCTGCCTCCAGAATCATGGGAACCAATATTTTAATCAGCTGTATTCCTGTGGACTCTCATCGAACAACCCAAACCAAATTTATTTTTAATTTACATTTACAGTCCATAAACACGAAATATTTAGATGTCAATCTAACAAAACGTATGGATTTCCGTGCGGAAAACTAAAAAATACTGATGAGGGAAACGAAGGCAGATTGAAATAAATGGAGAGACATCTCTTTCTCATGAATGGGAAGATTCAGCAGAGTTAAGTCAGTTATCCCCAAATTGATATACAGGTTTAAGGCAACTCCCATCAAAATCTCAGCAAGAAAACTTGATAAATTGGACTTCATCACAATTCAAAATGTGTGCGTCCGCGAGAGATCCTGTGGAAAGAATGAAAGACAAGCTACATACTGGGGGAAAAAAACGTTTGCAAACCACGTATCTGACAGAGAACTAGAATCCAGGATACATAAAGAACTCTCAAAATCCAACAGTAAAAAGCAATCTAAGAAAATGGGCAAAAGACATAACCTTTTCGATGAAGAGGATATACAGATGGCAAAAAAAAAAAAAAAAAAAAAAAAAAAAAAAAAAAAAAAAAAAAAAAAACAAAAAACCATGAAAGGATATTCAATATTATTAGCCACTAGGGAAACGCAAATTAAAACCACAATGAGATGTCACTATATACCAACACAATTGCTGACGTTTTAAAAAGGTGACAATGCCAAATGCTGGTAAGGAGAATCTTGATCACTCTTACCTTGCTGGAATAAATGTAAAATGTTGCAGCCACTGTGGAAAATAATTTGGTGGTTTCGGAAGGAAGGAAGGAAGGAAGGAAGGAAGGAAGGAAGGAAGGAAGGAAGGAAGGAGGGGAGGAAGGAAGGAAGGAAGAAGGGAAAGAGGGAGGAATGGAGGGAGGGAGGAAGGAAGGGAGGGAGGAAGGAAGAAAAGAAGGGGGAGGAAGAAAGACAGGGAGGGAGGAATATGCCACTAAGATACAAGCAAGCAATCACACTCCTGGGCATTTATTCCAGGAAGTGAAACTTGTGTGCATATAAACATCTGTGCATGGATGTTTAGCAGTTTTATTTGTAGCAGCCCCAAGCTGGAAACAACCTAGGTGTCCTTTCATTGCTAAGTAATTCAACA